CCTTCCTTCATGCCGAAGGGAAAACAGAAGAGGATGGTGCTTCAGGGAACTTGCTTCCTGTATCAGATATTTTGATTTAGCTTTGCCTAAAGCTTGCCTTCTCACTGGTGCCCGGGTGCGTTGGCTGGGCTTGTGAGGAGGTCTGCGTATCTTAGTTTGTGGGGAGGGGAAAGGGATGGACAGGGGACAACTGTGACAAGAGGGACCCTCAGGAGACCTTGTCCATGTGAAGGTGACTTGGGCTTCTGCACTGAGAAGATCAGAAGGGGCAAAGTGGGGAGAGCGATGGAGCTCATGGGGCGCACCCTCTCTCTCCCTCCTTCTCCACTAAGTCTGGGATACTCCTCCATTTCATGGGTCAGGGGGCTGGGCAACAGCCAGAAAATCAGCTTTGTATTTGTCCTTAGCAGTGTTTAAGAGAAGCAACCATTGTGGGGGTTACTCACACTGAAAGACAGAGGGCCTAGTGGGGAGGGGCTGGAGGCAGAGGGGCAGCTAAGCAGGCAGAACGAAGGCCACTGAGCTGTGCCAGAGCCCAGGAACCACCCTAGGCATTTCTCTGGCGCCTTTCTCCCTCTCCGAACACTCCGATTCTTAATCCCTCAGCACAAGGCAGCTGGATGGAGACAGAGGCTCAAAGAAGAGCCACAGCATCCTCGAGCCTACACAGGGCTCAGTGTGAAAAATAGGAACCAGATGGAAGGAGGCTCTATTTAGCCTGATCTCAAGAGTCTGCTGGACACACCGTGGTTGGCTGATAATAGGCACTGGGAGCAGGGTGGGTGTGGTTACTGTAGGAAAAAATCTAGATCGCATGGTTTCTGTTTTTACACCTCTTCTCTCTAAATGCTGGGAACTCTGGCTCAGTTTCTCAACACCTGTGGGCAAGGCAGGAGTAGTCTGTTGGAATTTCAGCAATGCTCCCTTTTGTGGAGGGCATGGCCTGCAACTGACAGAATGGCTAGGGGCCTGGATTCCAGAAGAAAATACAATATCCAGTATTCAGCCTTTCCACTCCCCACTCCACCACTTGCTGTACCAGGCAGCTCCTAGGCAACCTGGAGAAATGAAGTATAGCATGGCTGAAGGCGAAGGGTAAAAGGGACATTTTATTATACACAGTAGCACAAATGGGACAAGAGTCAAATCTAGAGTGATGGTCTTCATATCAGTTTTCCAATTTATAGGCACTCAACCTAAACGCCCTTTTCTCAGTCCTGGAGGAGAAATGGATTCTCATGTAGGAGAAAGCTGTGGTCCAGTTCATGAGGATGATGCCTAGTGAATGTCGCTTAGTCTCAGTGGAGGGCCAAAGCCATTTGGGAAAGTGTCTCCTGAGGGCAGGAAGGCCATCCTAGATAGGTCCATCAGAAAAACCAGCAATCTCTTAGGCCCACAAGGCAATAAAGGCCATGAAGGCAAAACCAGCGGCTACGCAGCCCCACTTGGCCAGAGGGGCCTCAGGGCCAGCTAGCTCCCGGGGCAGAATTTCCAGGAAGGTGACATACAGAAAGGTGCCGGCTGCCACACCTTCTAACACAACCTGGGCTAAGCCCTGCCGCCCTTTAGAGTCCCCTTGGGTCACAGCCAGCCCCAGGATCAGGCCCATGGGGGACATGAGAGCTAATGACAGTATGGACAACATGGCCCATCGTGAGCCAGTGCCTATCTGCACCAGCCGCAGTCCTACCCCAAACACTACGAGCCCCTTGTGAGCCAGGACAGCAAGACAGAGCTGCACGGTAGTTGCCACTGTTGGCTGCAGCCCCACGGCTAGCCCTTCAAACACTGAGTGAAAGGAGAGTGAGAGCAAGAGGACGAGGGCCCGGAGGGGACCCTTTGAGGGTGAGGGTGGAGGTCCATGGCTGTGGAGTTCTAGGACATGAGTCCCGCCCCACTCCTCCTGCACTGTGGTTCCTCCAGCGGCCCGAGGACAGCACTGCAATGCCAGCGACTCCAAAAAGAAGATTAAGAAGAAGCCCAGGGAGATGATGAGCTCTCCGTAGGGATACTCAACCTAGGAACAGAAAGAGGGGCTGTGAGGTGGGAAGGGAAGAGAAGCGAGTACACCGGGTGGCCATGGGAGTGGGAGACTGAAGAGAATGGGAAACATGGGACTCTGCCCAATTCCTAAGACTTGGCCGCCTGTTTGCCCTGCTGGCACTCACTCTGGTCTGTGACCTTATTCCCATCTGCTTCAGATGCTTCCAGATTGATGCAGCATATTGGGCATAAAGAAGGGCAAGGGAATGAAGCCAAGAGCAGGCATGGACAGCAACAAGAAGAATCCCTGAGGGACTAAGGGACACCAGAGTGACAGGGTTAGAAATATGGGAAAAGCATGTTAGGTCTGTCAAAGGGCCAGAGAAAGAGTGAAAGAGTAAAGCAGAGATTTTTCTGGGGTTCCACAGACCCAAGAGGATGGGGTGGGCTCCTCCTTTCCTCGGTGCTGTCTGAGCTGAGGAGCAGAGGGGATCCCTGGTTTCCTCCCTCACATACTCCCCTCAAAAGGGCCTGGCAGTGAAAGGAGTCTCTGGTTCTCCTCCCCCTCCAGGGAGGGACTGGCGGGAGATACTTACCTGTGCTGAATCAGCATCATCAGAAGCATTTCCCTCCCTTTCTGTCCTGTTCTAGGGAGAGAAAAGCAGAAATCAGGTAGGGGATGGAGCAGCTCGGCTTCCTGTCCTGCCCCTTCAGCTCCATCGCTTTCCTCAAAGTCCAACGTGACCGGTTTTCACCATGCCACAAAAGAGCTGTCCTCTTCCCTGTCCTTCCACCCTTGTCCTCGGCTCTGTCATTTTTCCCCCTCATCATTCTGGCCTCACAGCCCTGCTGCTCACCTGCATCTTAAACTTCTGGATCTCTGAGTCAATTCCCTCCAGGGCTTCAGCGGTCATGTGCATGAGCCCCGCTCCCAGGAAAACACCAGCAGAGGTGCAGCCCAGGAGGCTGAGGACCCGGCGGTGACGACCTGAAAAAAGGAGTTACAATCCAGTTGGCAATGAGATAGAAAAGGCGACAAAAGAGCAAACAGGTAGCACCCGATGTCCCCAGCTTGGGGATGGTGAGAGCCTCGGAGCAAGGCATCGGGACAGGTGATAGGGCCATAGTCAGGCTGAGGTTCTGGGGCCGGAGGCGGCGGGGCCGTACCTGTGGCGGCATCAATCTGGAACCACTTGAAGCAGATGGGAGTAAGGCCACAGAGCAGGGTGAGAACCAGCAGGGCAAACAGGCAGCCAATTTTCACTCCTGGGAGTGTTTCCATCCTTGGGGCACAGGATACGCAGATGCCTCACAACAGTAAATGGGAGTTATGACCTTTGGAGCAGGAGTGTGGAAGTAGGTGGTCAAAGCTGGAGTAGCCACTCTCCTGAGTTCCAGGAGGCCGTTGGGATCCTCCTTCTGTTCTGTGTTGCCTCTGCTTGCACAGCCTTGCATAGCTGACTGGGCCCTGCCCCAGATTCCCACCCTCCCCCTCCGAGGAGGCCCCTCCCCGGGCTCACGCCTTCCAGAACTGGGAAACCGGAAACTCCAGACTCCCTGCCAGGCACAGCCTGTGCCGTGGGTCTTCTCCTCTTCACTGCCATGACTGATCCAAATGCTGTGGACAGTCTTCGCTCATGCCTGGCGCTGGTCTAATCCAAAATGGGGGAGTCTATGGTAGGTCTTCCCCAGCTCTTTTGTACGGGGGGCACTTGGTCCTGCCGTATTCAAGACATTTGATCTAAGGTTCCCATACCCTCTCCACTCCACCCCATGTCTCATAGGTTGTTATGCTGATACCTGAACCCTACCTTTTCAGAAGGGATTTGGGGCCTCCTTCGGGTAGGAGGTAGCGCTGAGAGGTGGTGCTGCCACCTGGCACTCTGGGGAAACCGGTAGATGAGGGGCCTCCCTTCTCCTGTAACCCCAGAGAAATAGCTCCAGGCATGGCAATTTCTAGTGGGGAGCTGAGATTTCTAGTATTACAATATTGATGCTGTTCCAATTTTTGACTGTGCCTGTTTCTGGATATATACAGATCTTCCTCAACTTATGATGGGGTGATGTCCCAATGGACCCATCCTAAACTGAAAACCTCCTAGGTTGAAATGCCATTTAATACACCTAAGCTACCAATCCTAGCTCTGACTAGCTTTAATTGTGCTCAGAACACTTACATTAGCCCATGGTTGCGCAAAATCATCTAACCAAAGTCTATTTTATAATAAAGTGTTGAAGTCTCATATAATTTACCACATACTGTCCTGGAAGTGAAAACCAGAATGGTTTTAAGTGTACCAGCCGTTTACCGTCGTGATGGTGTGATTGGGAGCTGCGGCTGCCCAGCATCACGAGAGACTATCATCCCACATACTGCTGACCTGAGAAAAGATCCAAATTCAAAATTCAAAGTCCGGCTTCTACTCAGTGTGCCTCACTTTCACATCATCTTAAAGTTGAAAATTTGAAAATCGAGCCACGGTAAGTCAGGACCGTGTGTACTGGGGGAGAGGGCCTAAGAATTTTAAGACAAAGAAAGGTTCTTTAGCTCTGAAACAGCGAGGCCTAGGGAAAAACTGAGAAACGAACCAAGCAAACTGAAGGATGCTGCCTGGATCTACAGGGGTGGAGATGGAAAAATTCAGTCTTGATGGGGATCGGCTCTTGAGGAAAATGTATCAGGCAAATTCCGGGGGAGCTGATGAACCCCGAGAAAGACAGAAGAAAAGGAGGGAGAAAAACACAGAGGCTAGGCAGCCTGGATCCCCCATTTAGGTGGCCCACCTAACAACCGTGACACCTGCTGAGCCAGTGCTCAGAGACTGGGGCCGGCTTTCCCTACTGGCCCAGATTACTTCCCTGGTCGTGGTCTCTGGTAGAAGAAGCAGTACTCTTACAGGAGGTGAGCTTGAGATCTCTGTGGGAAGACAGGCACTGAATATCTGAGGATTCTCTCTGCTACAGGATTGAACATGACAACTGACCTCTGTACCTTTTAAGAATCACAAGATCCACTTATTCTTTGAAAACTTTTTATTATTATTAAAGCCTCAAACAAACATATACATAGGGCTACCAGCACTCCCACCCTGGATACCAGGGAGCTTCAGCCTTGGCAGGCCTAAAATAAGAAAATACTTATTTTCTTATTAACGCCTCCTTGTCAACTCCTAGGGGGGTCTTCAGCAGGGGACAGAGGAAGCTCGGACTCTGAAGGCGTGATCACAGGTAAAAGATCTCCCCAGGAGCTGACACGAGCACAGCGATACAAATCCCTATGGAAAACAGAGGTCAACATGGGCTGCAGGTTCTTGCCACCTCTCCCTAATTTTGATCACACCCTTTATACCTGCCATGCTGGCGGGCTGTGATCACAGCATGCTGCATATGCCCATCTGGACAGCACAGGTGACAATGCACATGGCGAGGCCGTTTAAGGACAGGCTGAGTGATACGGGGCCAGCGATCAGCCTCCTCTGGAGACCCCCGGGCAAGAATTACCATCGAGAACTTTTCCTCTTTTTGCTTCTTCTTGTTCTAAGATAAGGATATAGAGACTATTTGGAGAAAAAAGAGATGGGAAAAAAACTTGTGATCCCCATCCCTGCAGCCCTTTTCATATTCTATAAGCCATGGACACTCAGGCCCCGCAAACCTCCAGACTCCTCTGACTTCTCCAACTCTTCCCACCTCTGACTCTATCATCCCGTTCCCCTAGGCTATTTTCTCCCTGCCATAACTTTCTCAGGATACATACCCAGCTGAAGGGGATGCAGTGGTAAGCCTGAGAAAAGCTACAGGCCAGGGGCTTAGAGGCTGTCAACTGGGGACAAGGAAGTTCATGTGGACACTGTGAACACACAAGACAAAAGAACCACAGAATCAGACAACTGAAAAACAAAGAGTGATAGAATTAAGGCCTAGGGCAATGGCAGCATAGGAGCGGGCGGAAGGGAGAGCCAGGGGAACAACTGAGAAAGAAATTGGATAGGGACACAAAATAGTAGAGGGTGGTTTAGCTTTGCCCTCTCACTTTTCCTGGCCACAGCTGAGTTTACATCTTTGCACGCTGGGAAAGCGAGAAGTGATACTCACTGGGGCAAAGACAAAGCCAGGTCGAGGGTCCAAAGGTGACTTCTCTTTTCCCTGAAATCAAAAAAATTAAGCTGGGTCTGAGGGGTCTATTCTCATAACTCAATCTCTGCACTCAGTAAATTGAGGACTCCTTTAACATTCAATTCTGATAATTATTAACTAGGCTCCTTGGGTTAAGCTGGCTGCTTCTCTAATACTCCAAACAAAGAACTTTCTCTCTGCAGTAGAAAAGCAGGAACTTGGCACATAGTACGGTGCTCTCCCTTGTCAGCAACCTCTACTCTCAAAAAGATCCCACTCCAGGACAATTAAATTTATGATTATACACTGGCTCATACTGTCCCCAAAAGGTAAGGTTCTTGGCTTAGCAATGCCCTGGATCAGGGGTTGGTGCACTTTTTCTTTTTTAAAGGCCCAGAGAGTAGGCAAAATCTATTTCTGTCCCAACTATTCAACTCTGCTGTTTATAGTATGAAAGCAGCCACAGACAGGATGCCTGGGTGGCTCAGTCGGTTGAGCATCTGCCTTTGGCTCAGGTCATGATCCCAGGGTCCTGGGATCGAGTCCCGCATCACACTCCTTGCTCAGCAGGGAGCCTGCTTCTCCGTCTGCCTGCAGCTCCCCCTGCTTGTGCTCACTCTCTCTCTGACAAATAAATAAAATCTGAAAAAATAAAAAAAAGCAGCCACAGACAAGACGCACACCAATAAGCATGGCACATATAAAAACAGGTGGCAGGCCAAATTTAATCCACAGGTCCTAGTTTGCTAATCACTACCCTATATCATAACGACTTTATATGCCTAATATCCTGAGAATCACCCCTACCATTGTATGACAGAGTCCCTTCAGTTCTTAAGGGAGTAGAAGTGACTGGTGACAGATGGTGGGGCAGGGGTGAAAGAAAGAGAAAGAATCTTACCTTAAGGACCAGGTCCCTGGCATCCATGAGAAGGCAGTGTCCAGCTTTTGTTCCACTCTCTACCAGTATCTGTTCACAAAAAAGGAAAATAAGCATAAGCCCTGAATTACATGAAAACATAAATGCTAGCAGCTCTGTAAGAACATTCACAGATGGAGTAGAGGGCCCTAAAGGAAAGGGCCATCCCCATATAAGATGGGAATGAAGAGCCTAAAAGAGGGACAAAGGGATCTACGCATGAGAAAAATAGTCAAGAATGAACACAAGTTCCAACGGAGAGAAGGAAATGCATGAAACCCAGGACACTGCTTTAAAACTGGAAGGGAAAAAGGGATTTCAACTCACCAGAAAATGACTCGTCTTGCGCCACAGGGTCTGAACTAGCTCAGTGCGGTCAGCCTTGCTGGGAAGCTCACTTAGGGAGAAGGCTGATACCACCACATCGAACTGTACCTGAGAACCAGGACAAGGAATGTGACAGACCTGACATTACCCCCCGGCCACCCTTCCAAGAGTATAACAAAGTTCTATCCCCTTGGATTTCTTCTGTTCTCTTTTATCTTCTAACACTCAAGGCTGGGTTGCAAAGCTGAAGCCACGGTTTTCCATCTGCCAAATTCCACATTTAACACACTCTGAACACTGTCACTTGCCTTGGGTGATACAGGTAGAAACTGTCTGAAGAAGACACCTGGAACATAAGGCTCCCCAGATTCTGAACCACCTGTGGAGTAAAGCAGAGGTGCGGCAACTATGAGTGTACAGGTATCAACTGAAGTGATATCTCCATAAGAACTATGGTCCCAAGGCTAAAGCAAACCACCAGGTGCGGCACCTGGGTGGCCCAGATGAGTAAGCACCCATCTTCGACTCAGGTCATGATCCCGGGGGTCCTGGGATCAAGCCCTGTGCCGTGCGTCAGGCTCCCTGGTCGGGCTCCCTGCTCAGTGGGAAGTCAGCTTCTCCCTCTGCCCCTCCCCCCACTCATGTTCTCTCTCTCTCTCTCTCTCTCAAATAAGTAAAATCTTAAACAAAAACAAAAACAAAAACAAAGGGCAGGGAAACACTGGGTTGCCTCTCCTGTTTCTCTTACCCAACCCACCCACAGTCCAGCAAAGGCCTCTACCACCCTCCACTTGACCATAACACTGGAAAGAAATCAGACTCATCTTTAACTTTTAGCCCTCCTCTACTCCCCAGTAAAACACCCTTTCTAGTTCTCTGCTTAACTCCTTCAACTTTGAAGCAGCCCCTCCTTACCCCTTGTCCTCACCTTTCAGTAGCTTTTCTGCCAAAACCAACATAGCAGCTGAGCTGTCCACACACACATATTCACGTAGGCTCTGGCCCCAAGCACTATGAGCAGCCCTAAGATGGCAAAATATAAATCACCATTTCTCATGACAAAGAGTCATCCCTACAAGGATCTCATCCTACAGAGATCCCTCTGCCCCCAACCCCACCCCTGGGAAACAGAGTATTATCTTAAAATAGTTGGAAAAACTAGCAGTGTTATTTTCTGATTTCATTTACTACTCCTTAAAAAAAGGACAGACTCAAAAAAACTATTTGTAGGTAAAAAAAAAATCTTGGTGATATGCCCTAGACTAAATTCCTTTCCTTTTTTATCTTTCTAAACATGGGTCTTTTTTCACTTGAAGTTTCTTTAAGTTCTGGCCCTAATCCATATACTTTCTTTACCTAATCTGAGAAAAAACATTCTAGTTCCCAACTTTCCTATTCTCCCTCTGGTTCCCTAGTCTCTTGGAGTGTTATACACATGGCTCTCTAGAGCTAGAATTGACAGAGACAGAAAGATACTTACCAAGTGACAGAACCAGTACCTGAGCCAAAGTCCATTAAGGTTTGGGGCTGGAACTCTGGAACTCGAGCCCGGATCTGAGGAAATACGTAATACCCCACAGTAGGGTAAGTAGACCCTTATTTAGGGCCCCTATGAATTAGGCAACCATGAGAAAGCAGATGAGATGTGAATGTTTTTTTGAGATTCAGTGTAAATACCTTACAGAATGGGAACCTCCTAAAACAGTGATTTTAAACCTTTCTTGGGTCATGAACCCTTTCAGAGAATAAAGAGAGCCTCTCAAAAAAAAAAAAAAAAAAAGGACAGATAAAGAGATAAAGGAGGATAAAGAGAGCCTCTCAAAAAAAAAAAAAAAAAAGCACATACAATGTCCCAAGAACTGTACCCTAGAAGCCTACTTTATGAATAAGGGAACTGATGGTAAAAGGTTGGAAGCTGAGGGGCTTTCACCTCATGGAATGCCCTGGAGACTGCTGCAAAGCCACCATCCAGTCTTGCTGCCATATACACCAGGCTTAGGCTCTCATTGTAGCTGCCAGAAAAACCAAAGAGTCACACCCACCAGGAAATAACCTCCATCCCATAGTTAAACTTCTAGATTTTTAGGAATGAAATCTCTGGAAAGGGCTCTTCCAGCTCAGCGTTTTTACTCCTTAAAAGAGAAGAGTCCTGAGTACAAAGCAGGTAAGCTTTTCAAATAGGAATTGTGTAACAGTACTTCCCCAGTCTCTTCCTAGAGACAAGATTTTTTTTCTTTTGCAGCCCTTCTAGCCCCCCTTACCTCAGTTCTTGCCAATGGTATGTAGTTTTGCGCAGGGTTCGCAGCACTGCTTCACGAAGTTTCTCCTTCACCTGAAATAAGTCTGTGGTGAGAACAAGAACTGAGAGTGAGGACCTAGGAAGAACAGGGCTCAGATCCAATACTTGAATATGCTGCTTGCTCATTCCCCTGCAACTCTCATCCTAGGCAAAATCTCAGAGCTTAAGAGAGAAGCCAAATCTAGAGAAAAATTTCGGGTAAAAATAACAGCAACCACCACCATCACCACCAGAATGTACCAGATAGTATTTTGCCTCTAACGGCAGTTTATTCAACAAGACCAAACCTATCCCACAGGTTTTGCTCTCTATTAAAGGGAAGTGTCTCAAAGATTTAAACGGATAGGATAAGGACAATATTTTGTGGATTTTCTTCAGTACCCCAAAACTGCAGACTGTGACATTTCCAATGTTCCTAGAGGGAAGAAAGGGGCTTGAAAATCTCCTCTCAGGCTTGTGTTCAGTTCAGTACTATTTTATCTACACAGCACCTACTATGAACTAGGTCCTGTGAGAAGTGCAGGGAATACAAGATGAATAAAAGGCAGGTCTGTAATATTAAGGAGCTCACACCCATGAAAATAACTTGATGAGTTATACTCATTCTCCCATCCCTGAAGAGCGTTTCAGTACTGGACAGAGAGCCATACAAGGATTTTATTTCACTTGAATAAAAACTTAGACCGTCCTAATCCAGTGGATTTGCAGGAAAAAACCCAAAGACCTAGATTTTGACAGGATACTGAGCACCCTTGGAAACCATCTTCTTTTAGCAAGGCATCACTGTAACAAGCAGCTCTGGCCAGAAAACCAAACAAGAAACCGCAGTATCTATTTGAGATAGATACTCAAATAGATCTGTAAAATTATTTCTTGCTTTTAATTTCCCACCGATATTTCAATTTGGCCTACTCTTCATTCTTAGGCCCTACCTGGGTTTTCCAGGAATTTTTCCTCAAGATGTACAGCCCGTCTTTGCAACTCCTCCGGCTCTACAGGTAAACGCCGGCTCCACAGGTAATTGGCCAGTGCTTGCGCCTGCTTCTCCACATTGGGCATCGAGCTCTCTACGGGCCAAAGATGAAACGCGACATCACTTAATGCAGACCCAGTCTCGCTTCTTCTCGGGCTTCCGCTTCCCACCGTTACTCACCGAGCAGCAGGAACTGCGCAGCGGCAGCCAGGGCAGGCGGCACCTCTACGCATGGCAGCTGCAAGACGCCGGGGTGCCGGCGATGGGGCCTCTTCCCCAGAAAATCGGAATTGTTATCGACCTGGGATACGCCCGGCACGACGGCGGCGAGCGCCTGCAGGCCGAGAAAGAAAAGCTGATTGCGGGGCAGAAGGGAAGGCTCTGGCGTTTCGCTAAGGAAGGGCTGCCGAGGGCGCTCTTCCTCGGAGCGGAGCTATTCCTGAGATCCAGAGTCTTTCCGAGAGCAGGGAAAGCAGACACTCACGCGAGACTGGGGAGCTTCTCCACGGCCGCGGCGCCATCTGCTACATGTCAGCAGATGCCTCAGTCCTCTCGCGGTCGCCATGGCACCGGAGGCGAGCAGGAAACGGAAATGATGAGGCCTGTGACCCTCACGGAGCAGTGTCAGCCAATGAGAAGAGCGAGTGCTTCTAGTAGCCAATAAACAATCGATATGTAAATCACCTCGGAGGGGAAAGGTACGTGGGTGGGATCAGGACCTCTGGTCCTCCATAACCAGCAGAAGACGACGTGCCCTCAAGGCTGTGCGCCGACTGGTCTCCGCGTCCCGAAGCCGAGGGGAGGGCCGGGGTGGGGCGGGGGCGGGCCGGGGGCGGGCCCTTTCCTGGACGCTCTAGAGAAGCGCCGTAGACAGCAAAAGACTATTTCTGGATGTATTACCTACCTGTGTTCCTTGCTTTTCTCTGTGGAGGACTCTGAAGTCTTGGGATTTTTTTCCCCCCTGTGTGAAAACGGGAGAATGCAGTAAGGGAAAGATAAGAAAAACCCAAATTTAGGCAACCCAAGATAACAGAAATTAATAGTTAATAGATTCAATGGTTTTTGTTCTGTTTTTACATATTATTCTCCTATTAAATTGTCCTCTTAGATAAATAGCTAACACTTAGAACGTGCCCGATACTGTAGCAAGCACATTTACGTAATATTACCGCATTTAGTCCCTGCTATCTGTGAGATACATTCTGTTAACCCCATTTTGCAGCTGAAGAAAGTGAGTATTCAGATGTTTAAATATCACGCCCAAGATCACAAACCTTGTTAGATGATAATTAGATTTAAACCTAGGCAGTTTAGGGGCCCCTGGGTGGCTCAGTTGGTTGAGGGAGGGACTCTTGATTTCAGCTCAGGTCATGATCTCAGGGTTGTGAAACTGGGCTCCCCGCTCAGCGGGGAGTCGCTTGAGATTCTCTCTCTCCTCTCCCTCTGCCTCTCCCCCTACTCACGGACTCTCAATAAATAAATAAATAAAATCTTCTAAAACTAAAAAAATAAACGTGGCAGTCTAAGTCTGAGCTTCACCTTTAAACATATGCTCTACCGGATATTGTTGGCACTTGGAATGCAAATTAGCAAGTTAACTGGGAACACTATGCTAAATGTCCTGAAGTGTTAAACTGACATGTAGCATTAAAATGAACTCACTGCGCTGTGTGCCCTCTTGATTCTGTTAGCAAAGGTATTAGTCAACTATGCAATATCTTAACGTTTTGATATCTGCTGACTGGATGGGTGAAAGTATTGCATTTGCTACAACTGCAAGAGTCCAAATATGATAATTATGGGGTAAAATATGGGGAACTACATCCGTCAGAGTTAAATGTCTGGTTTGCATTTAGGTTAGTAAACTTTGATTCCATTAAAGGAGACTTTGACTTTGTAAACTGAATGCTCTGGAAGGAGTCTTGAAGGTTGCTTAAGACGGGTGTTGTAAATTCTATAGTCACTGCTCTCCTTCTTTTTGGGTTCACCTTCTTTTTTACCCCTCACTTTAATTCACACTGACACACTTAGCGTCATCTCTTGTGACACTTCACTTTTATTTTATGATTTTGTTTATTTGTGAGAGAGAGAGAGCAAGAGAGCACGCACAAGGTGGGGGTGGCAGGCAGAGGGAGAAGAGGCTCCCCGCTGAATAGGGAGCCCAGTGCGGGACTTGATCCCAGGACGCTGGGATCATGACCTGAGCCCAAGGCAGACAATGACTGAGCCACCCAGGCATCTCAACTTCGCTTTTACTTTAAATTGTTGGCTCAAGTATTAGCAAAATAAAATATCCTTGTCACTGTAGGTTAGCTCTAACATAAATTAGCTATATTATTTTTTGTCATAGGAAGGTAACAGAACATAGGGATAAAATGCTTGCCATCTGGAATCTGGCAGTCTGAATTTGAATTCTAGAAAAGCAACGTATTAAGAGTTGCTATCTCACAGGGTTACTAGAGTGAGAGGTTTAATGAGATAATGTCTGGCCCAAGTAAACTCTCAATATGTTGATATTATTATCATATGTGTTACCATATGTATTTTGGGAACTTGAAGAGACATAATCACATTTTAATTTTTATTATAATTTCATGTCTTATTTCCAAGACAGACTTGAAAGTGGAGATATTTGGGGCTAAGTAAGACTGAGCACTGGAGACTTAGAAGTAAGGAGCAGGGGAACTTGGTGGTACCTCTAGATGTCCCTCCTGTTTTTCCTGTTGAACTACCAACATAGATGTGTCTTCCTTTATTCTGACATTGACGTAATTGGGATTGTTTCCTTCCTTCAGTAACGCAATTTCTCAAAATCTGACTTAGACCTAAATTTTATGTGTCTTTGTTCTTAATCCAAAGTATTGTTCATAAAAACAAAACAAAACAAAAACCTCCACACCACCCTCCTCATGGATTGAGGATGTCTTTAAGACATCTAAAACAGTGAACACAGTTCTTTATTCATTGAAAATGCTTAATCGATATTTGTTGATGACATTGATAAAGTCACCACTCTTTGTTTCCATGCTTGGAAAAGCTTAACAGGGTAGACTAGGTTGACGATCTGAGTCTAATCATTTGACCAAGTCACAATCCCCCAAAGCATAGATGAGCCCATTTCATAACTAATCCACGAATTCTGCTACATTAATGCTGGTTTCATACCTTGACTGGAGTAGTATTTCCAATTAGTAACTTTGAATTACATTAAAAAAAAAAGACATAAATGTGGAGAAACTAGGAAACATTAAAAAGAAATACCCCCCACTTCCTACCCCCAAAGTAAGTAAACGGACAAAAAAATTATCTGAGGGTGCCTGGGTGGCTCAGTTGGTTAAGTGACTGCATTCAGCTCGGGTCATGATCCTGCAGTCCCAGGATCGAGTCCCACCTCGGGCTCCCTACTCGGTGGGGAGTCTGCTTCTCCCTCTCACCCTCCCCCCCTCATGCTCTCTTTCTCTTCATTCTCTCTCTCTCAAATAAATAAATAAAAATCTTTAAAAAAAAGTTCTCTGAGGAAGGTTTGGATAATTTGGTTAGAGATGGATGATGACTATCTGGTTTTCTCCACAAGTTTATGAAAAAGGGAAATGGCTAATAATTAGGTTTAGAGAAACTCTCAACAATGAAGGTTTGAAGCAACTGAAATAAGTTTCTTGGGAAATTAAAGAAATTCTGTCATCAAAGTTCCCAAGTAGTGCCATTTTTTATCTCTCTCATGGCTTTGTATAAAGTTTTCCTTTTTAAAAAAATCTTCTAGTCTCTTAAAGCATTATTTGTTGTGTTTATTTGCATTTGTTGTCTTCTAGATTAGTCTTTATCTTTTAAATGGCTTTTACTTTTTTAAAAAGATTTCATTTATTTGAGAGAGAGAAAGCACAGCAGGGGGAGGGGCAAAGGGGGAGGGGCAAAGGGGAAGGGGCAAGGGAAGGGGGCAAGGGGAGGGGCAGAGGGAGAGGGAGAAGCACAGGCTCCCCATCAAGCAGGGAGTCTGACTCAGGGCTTGATCCCCTGAGCCAAAGGCAGACTCTTAACTGACTGAGCCACCCAGGAGCCACAATTTTTACTTTTATTTGTAACTCTTCCTGAATATGTCACCTTTTTTCCTGAAATTTTTTCTAATTTTGATGCATGTTGTTCTTTCATGTCTTGGATTATTTTCTTTTGAAACCATGGGTTGCATTTTTTTAAAAAAGATTTTATTTATTTATTTGAGAGAGAACAAGTTGGGGGAGGGGCAGAGGGAGAAGTAGACTCTGTGTGAAGCAGGGTGCCCAATGCAGAACTTGATCCCTGAAACCTGGGATCATGACCTGAGCCAAGGGCAGATGCTTAACCGACTGAACCACACAGGCGCCCTCATGGGTTGCAGTTTTAATCTGTTTTGTGAACATGTCTTTGTTATTTTAGTTCTCAGTGGAGTGGACATTAAGATGGGATTAGGTTTATAAGAGATTTATTGGGAGCAATTCCTGTGAAGGGGAAAGGGAGAGGAAGCCAGAGGAGGCAGGAAGAACTGTCAGAGTGGGAATCAAGTCTGACCTCTGTGGAAAAGGAAGGGAAGAAAAACAGGCTGGATATGCACAGTTCTAAAAGAGTTTCAGCCAGGCTGATGGAGAATCTTTGAGCCCAAGGTCATGGTTAGAGGCATCCTGCATCTGGCAGAAATGGGGCTGACTTAGTATCCTTGCCGCACTGATTGGTTGAGGGCAGCCCATGGGGAGTGTAGCAGATTCAGTGTGGCAGTTGGGGCAACAGGTCAATTATGATCCACATAGCAGGAGATCTGAGGAGTTACATTTTCATAGCTGCCTAGAGCCACACAGATCTACTTCTCCAGATGGGTTCAAGGGACAATTCCTTCAACCTTCACATGGGCTTCACATGGGCTTCACAAGAGAAACTTAGAAGGAGGTTAGTGGGGCAAATTATAGCCACTGTCACTGCTGTTGATCTCAGGGGTGCAAATGGCCCCCATCCACTCCCTCCATTACTATCCATTCTAATTTCCCCTCACCCTCCACTATCATGTCCTCAGGTCTTAGTGGCTTACCTGGTATTATGACCCAAACCTTCATTCCTGAGGGGTCCAAATCCTTGATAGTCATATCTTTCTCTGGCTGAGATTGCTGAACATGCATATTCACAGTTACAATGGAGCATGGGACTTCTAGGAAGCACCCAAATAGATCACTTGGGTTCTACACGAATTCCAGTCTGTCTCCATTGTGTAAAAGCAGCCCGATACCCTTCCTCCTGCTAATCAGGGCTATTTAACCCTGACAGTCTGGTAACTCCATCTTTTTTTTTTTTTTTTAGATTTTATTTGTTTATTTGACAGAGAGAGCACAAGCACAGGGAGAGTCAGGGAAAGGGAGAGGGAGAAGCAGGCCCCCCGCTGAGCAGGAACCCCCCCCCCCCTCAGTGTGGGGCTGGATCCCAGGACCCTGGGATCATGACCTGAGCCGAAGGCAGACACATAACCAACTGAGCCACCCAGGGGCTTCTCCACATTTTTTTTTTTAAGATTTTATTTTTAAGTAATCTCTATATCAACGTGGCACTCGAACTCACAACTCCGAGATCTCATGTTCTA